GACGGTGTTTCGTTCCTGAATGAATCACTCGTTTAAATGATTCGGTTCAATCGCAACGACTCACTTATTAACAGTGACTTGCTGCCACCTACTGTTGGTTTTAATTTCACATTTCGGCTTTTCCTTTCTTTTGTGATTTTTTTCATGTTTTAAATCATTTCAAATATCAGTATCCAACGTTTTATGTTTAATACATCAAAACATTTTTTATGCATTTGTAATTGCAGGTTAAATGCATTTATGTCTTGCATTAAACATAATACATGTGTGTAAACACGTCTAAATGCCACTTCAGATGCAGCTTCTGTGTGGATTTAATTTGCTCGGTAACAGCCCGAATGTCTTATTATTCTAATTCCCCGATTAAATGTAAGAATTTGACTCAAAAGATAATGGACACTTTTAGAAAAATGGCTTTATAAAGGTAAAAATGCCCATAAAATGCAAAAATCAGTTTAAACTTATTGGAAAAGATTCATTTCTATCAGTATGAACTGACCACCACACAGAATATGAAGAATATTAAAAACATTAGGAGTCTTCGGCTGTCCTTAAGGTACCAGCACAATAACACACTCAGCAAAATATCGTCTATTTATCGTCATCGATAAAATCCCAGAAAATATCGAGATATATAAAAACATATGTTTTGTCAATATCGCACACCCCTAGTGTACTGTGTATATTTATTACATATAACACACAGTATACATTTTGAAAATAGTTGCATGAAGACTATAGTTATATTTATAACTTACATTACATATAAATATTGTTAATATATAAACATAACATTTTTTCTTAAATATATACACACGTATGTGTGTGTATTTATATTTGCATAATAAATATACACAGTACACACACGTTTTAAATAAACAAAAACTTTATTTTGGACGCGATTAATCGTTTGACAGCACTAAACTATATTACAACAATGCTGACAATGCAAGATGCCCAAAACTGCTGCTGACTCAGAGTACATGTCTATGTCCAACATGTCCAACGCGCCTGCGAGGCCCCAATGATGCTCAAAACCGCTGCGCACTGGGCAACTGTTGAACGTCTCTCCGCTCACCTACGCGTAATGCTGTAACAAGCTGACGGCGTATTAGCTTTTGAGACGCGGCCCACACACGCTTCTCATTCATCCATTAGTGAACAGTCCTTTCTAGCAACAGTACAGCCTGGCGTCTTCTTACCTTGGGCAAATCCCGGAGCTGGTTGGCGTCCAGTAGAAGCTCTTCCAAACTCGCTCTGTAGCGATAGATCTCATCCGGGACGAAGAGCAGCGAGCAGTGGCGCTTATCGACCGACTCGATGTGACGGCTGCACCGCCACAGGGGGATACAGTGAAACATCACGGGAGGCTGATCCTAGCCCTAGACAAACCCGTACTGCTGGAAAAGTTGCCACAGCGATGAAAACTCAAGCAAACGCGCTGGAGAACCCAGGAACGATGAAAGAGCGCAACTGGTGTCGCATACAAATCTGGCAAAGAAAACAAAAGCTTGTCCGCGGAGGAAAAATCAATCATACAGTTGACTGAACACACTTAGCCCTTTTCTGACAACATGCACCAACAGGCTTTTCAGCACAATTTAAACAGCAGAAACAATTATTTATGACAACAGAAACAATTATGAACCAAAAAAACAATTAGTAAAACGGCAAAAAATGTACAAGAAAACATTTGCCTTCAAGTATCCCAACAAGGTATAACTGCTTTTACCCAACAGCCATTCTAAAATCCTAAGTTTAGATTAAGTTTAGATACATTTTTGAACTAGGAGTTTTTTGAGAGCTGTGTGCAGATACCCAAAGTTTTCTGATCTAACTACTGTGTGCATGACTAGAAGGCTAGTCCTTTTTATTATTTGCAATTGAGCAGGCTACTGTTTTTTCCCTGCGGTCTGCAACTATCATATAAGAATGAATGACAGTTCTTGGAGTGAACTACCACTAGATGGAGACAAACACGCTTGGGTTTGATGGCACACCGGCAGGCAAGCACCACAGCAGACAACAGATTTTGTGCTTATTGTTTTAATTTCAGAATTCAAACTGTGTCTGTCATGATCGGGGAAAAAAAATAATAATACAAAGAGACAGCTTGATTTCAAAGTGCAATTATTGTTCATACAAATAAGTACGAAGTTGATCATATTTCATCAATACTGCACTCTAAAAAATGCTGGGTTAAATACAACCCAGTGCTGGGTAAAATAGGGACAAACCCAGCAATTGGGTTGTTTTGGCCCAGCGGTTGGGTTAAATGTTTAACCCAACTTTCTTGGAAGTAACCCAATCTCTGGGTCAAAACAACCCAATTGCTGGGTTTGTCCCTATTTTACCCAGCACTGGGATGTATTTAACCCAGCATTTTTTAGAGTGTGTAAGCATCTTGTGGAATTACAAATTACATCAGGTCGGGAAAAAAAAAACCAAAAAAAAACTCCAAACGGTTTAGACAATAAGGGTGGGCGAGGAATGATCTGCTACATTCATCTGCGACTAAGCTGCTTTTTAAAGGCCTTTAAGGACTTTGCCATCATGGGGGCCACTCCTGTGAACATACAAGACAAACACACCACATTAAGACGAGCAAAACAATGAGAGCATTTGCTCCTGTATCAACCATGTAAGCAAATGATTTCAAATAAATAAAAGCTGTAAATGAGAGCTGATGTCCCGTTCTGACTGTTGGTAATGTGTGATACAGGTCTCACGCTCAAATCTGCAAACCAGATAAACTACCAGATGCCAATTTTGTGCTGCTTTGAGCTGCTATTACAATTACACATATTCTAACTATTGGAATATGGACTGACTCCTGCCAAATAAAGTGTGGTCTTTAGAGGCACAGTTGAAAACGTGTGAAAACTCACGTTTAATCTTCCGGGGGTCTTGGGCTTGGCCAGAGTTGTTAGTGGAGGGTTTTGGAGGCTCACTGAAGCTGGATCTTCCCCGATTCTCATTGGGTTTCACACTACTGTGGAGTGGAGTGATAAGATTTTCTTTGAATGATATTCATCTGCACAGTCACTAGCATGACACTAATGGAAGGGAATTCAATGCCCACTCTCTAAAAAACGAATTATGTTCACATGAACTCAGTCCGAGCAGCGGAGTCCTTAGCCATCTTCAAGAATCGGCTAAAAACACATCTCTTCCATCTTTATTTGACCCTCTAACTCTAGCACTCTCTATTCTAATTCTATTTTTATTTTTTTTTACTTGCCCGTTAGACTTGCACTCAATTCATTTACTAACTGCTTGTTTAATAAATAAATAAAAAAACAAAAAAAAAACTTTTTGTGTTCTATTTGTTTTCTTGTTATTTATTATACAATTAACAATAGAAAAAGAATGGAGCAAGCTATTGTTAGAGGCCTTTTTTGCTATTCTATCGGTTTTCTTTTTTAAATAATAAAATTTTTTTTTGCTATGTGTACTACGTTAAGCTATCTGAGGCTTGTTATAGCACTTGTATATCATTGCTCTTTTGTTGATTTTGATTGCTTCCATTGTTCTCATTTGTAAGTCGCTTTGGATAAAAGCTTCTGCTAAATGACTAAATATAAATGTAATGAAGGAATTTTCCATGTTGATATTTCACAGGTGTTTTATTATGAAATACGTCTCGCATCGTGTTTTAGGGTCAAAAGGAAGTTTCCGTAAACCTAAAAAAAAAAAAAGTTCACTTAAAAATCACAATTTTTTGAAAATGTGAGAAAATACGAGTTCGTTTCTTCATCAAAAAAAAAAAAGTCCATCCCATTTTGTCCTCTCACATCAAAATCCATCTGCCTGTTTATTTAGAACTCTTTAGAACTTTGCTTGCAAACGGTGCTTGATCAGTGCTGTGCACATTTCTCTCCTGATTCAGATGAGATGACCGTTTCACTGGAGAAAGCAAAATATGGATAGAGGACCAGAAGCAATGGTTCATAGCTAAAACACCTTTTTTAATTTTTTTTTAGATGCACTTTAAATACACTTTTTTTTGCTTCACAAGATGTGAATGGCTGAAAGTTCAAAGTCTTATTGATGGATTTGTTTGTTTCTTACAAACGTGCATCTTTTCACTTCATAAGACATTAACTGATGGACTGGAGAGCTGTGGATTATTGTGATGTTTTTATCAGCTGTTTGGACTCTCATTCTGACGGCACCCATTCACTGCAGAGCATCCATTGGTGAAAAATAGTGATGGAATGCTACATTTCTCCAAATCTGTTCTGATGAGGAAACAAACTCATCTACATCTTGAAAGGCCCGAGTAAATTTTCTTTTTTTTTAGTATTTTTTGGTGAACTACTACTATAACGACAAATGTCCCGACAGAAAATTACCAGTACCTTTAGAATACAGATTTTTTCCCCCCTCACACTGCATGATGATATTTATACAGTTGTTTTATTAATTCTATAACTGTGATGCAAGTACACACAGTTGGCTCTTTCACCAAAAGGGCTGGTTGTGGCCCTTCCAGCCTAATCTGGTCTGAACTGACCTGGCTCTGTCTGCTGGGTGAGGTAGTGTCACGGGGCCGGCCGTGCCGTGAAGCTCCTGTTGGATCCTCACATTTCTAGGTGGCTTAGCAGCTGAGTGAATAAACGCCATTTTCACCTGCCTGCCTAAAAGAGAAAAACAAAAGCACAAAACATTAAGTGTGACATTAGGCGTCAACAGACCTTCAAAGCAAAGTTAAAGCAGGTGGTGGGAGAAAACACACTGACATTCTGGATTTGGATGGCAATAAAATCATAGACTAGCCCTTGTAAATGTTGAAATTTCCTTACGTCTGCATGAGAAACAACTACAATCCAAATAGGGCTACATACACATTACTTGGGGTAATATGTACTAACAGAAACATTTTTTATATCCACTAAACATCTTGGTGTAGCAATGACATTTCTGCTACACACCTCTGTGTGAGGAGAAACGGAAAAGATAATCAGAAAGAGCTTTATTGCCAGGCGCACACAGGCGCACACGCAGGCGTACATGCAGGCACACGCAGAGGCACACACACAGGCACGCACACACACACACAGGCACACAGAGGCACACACACACGGAATTTGTCTTGGTGACAGAAGCTTCCAGTGCAGACACAGGGTGACAAGTGACAAGAATAAAAACAAGTGATTAAAAATAAAATGTAAAATCAATAAACAATAGAAAAAAAGACAATATATTGCATGTACAGATGTCCTATATACAAATTATGCAAGGGAATATGTATAGATGTAAGATTAAAACAATAGCATATGTATAATAAATATAAGTATAGATGGGTATTGCTCATGTTTTACTGTGCTCTAGATGATGCTGTATACAGTTATATTCTAAATATTTTTCTTTCTCTAGAAGTTAGTTCGAGATTCCATAATCTTCCTTCTGGGAACTTAGCAACTAAAACATGTTTGTGAACACAACCAGAAACTAACCGCATCATTTAAAAAAAAAAATGCCATCCATTCATCCATTATTATAACCTACAGTAAGAGCAAAGAGATGCTTTCTGAGCACTTTTTCCATTCAGTTGGCCAGCAAGGTCTTCATATTAGATATACAAGAAAAATAAAAAACATGAGTACAGTACATTCCACTTCCAGTCACTTAATGTGCCAAAAATCCAACCCAGGAAATTTAAAGGGAGACAATTTTTACATTTTGCCCAAAAGGACATTTTACGAAATTTGGTAAAAAATTACATTATGCATCTTTTGTCAAAATGCCAAGATCAATTGCAAGACAACTGCTGTGATCCCATCTATGATAAAAATCATTTAGAAGATTAAACCGAGAAATCAAATGAGCCAAAAAAGAGCCTTAAAGAAGATGAAAACAAAAGTTTGAAGGCATTAGAATTCAACCGTATCCATCTACTTCCATTAACCCCAAAGTCAGAGTTGCGCTCTAAATCTATTCATCGTCTGAGCAGACAGACGGTCAGAGCCATATTACCACAGAAGCCAACTGCATTTATGAGCCTTCAAGCTCAGCTCACCAACAAACAACTGCTCCCGCTCTGGAGAAATACTTAAAGATGAGGCTTACAAATCATCTCCCAATAGTCAGTCAACGTCTGTCTAAAATACCAGCTTGGACAGTAGAATTAAACATCAGCTGACAATCTACAGTAGGAGGAAGCAACTTTGAGGCTGGAACCCAAATCAGCTGTACTACAAGCCAGCACTGGGCAACATGACATTATTGTAGAGCAGTAGATACTTTCATATCATTTATACCATGCATATTAGGATATCAGTGGTCAGGGCTGCTTTGGGACATTAAAGAAACAGTTCGCCCCAAAATGAAAATTGGCTGTCCCTAAGGACATCCAAGACGTAGATGAATTTGTATCTTCATCAGAACAGATTTGGAAAAATGTAGCATTTATCATTACATCACCAATGGATCCTCTGCAGTGAATGGGTGCCGTCAGAAACATCAGCGTCCAAACAGCTCATAAAAACAT